TAAAACGGTTTATAGACATAGTGCTCTAGATTTTTTGTTAAAAAGGTTATCATCGTTTATATTAAACATCAGGTAGGAAGGAGTGTTAGCGTATGTCATTCAACATCCAATAAAGAACTTGAGAATGTTGTCCTTAGAGACCATGTGCAGAATAACCTTGACTCATTACTCTTTAAGGAACCTAACGCTCTTGTTTTACTTACAGGTGACTTTAATCCCACGTCTACAGGTTTTAAAATGAAATATATCACACAAGTGAACCATCTTAAACAACTTACATCTTGTAAAACCAGAGATTCTGCCGTATTGGATTGGCTGTTAATAAATAGACCTAAGATGTTTGAAGTATCTAGATTGCCAAAGGTTGGTTCGTCTGACCACTATACGATCTCAGCAAAACCAAATATAGCAATATCATCTAAACAGACTATTACCAAAATTAGAATTCGGGACATGCGGAACTCTGCGTGGTGTGCCTTTGGATGATGGATAACCAAAAAAAACTGGTCATCGGTATTAAGTGCGAGTACGAGCAAAGATAAATTTGACCTCTTTATGTCAGAGCTTGACCAAGCAGTTAATACCTTTCTCCCACAGAAAATGATTAAAAAGCATTCGACAGATCGCCCGTGGATTACTAATACATACGATAAAACTGTGGATTTCTAGACGCCAATGTGTATTCCAACAACAAGGAAAAAATTCTAAAGACTATAGTTTTTGGAGGAATAAGGTTCAACGTGCGATCCAGCCAGCAAAATCCAATTACTTTCATTGTAAGGTAGCAGATGTTGATAGAGTTAACCCTGTAAAGTGGTGGGAAGAGATTAAAAAACTATCAGGTCAAAATATCCGACAGGAATGGTATCATCAGTTCCTTGATAACAACATGGATATAGAATCCCTAGCTTATAAAGTGAACGACTTCTTTGTTAGTCTTACAGATCACTTCGCCCCTCTGAGCCAACCAACTCCACCTATGCAAATCCCTGAAGAATTCTTGGTTACGGAAAGTGAGGTGTTTAAAGCATTAGCATCACTGCAAATTAGTAAGGCGATTGGCCCTGATAATATCCCGAATAGAATCCTGAAAGGGTTTGCTCCTGAACTGGCTCCAGTCATTCGTAATATTTACAACCAGTCAATGAAAGAAGCGAATATCCCATCACCACTTAAGTCATCTATTGTAATTCCAGTTCCGAAGATATCACCTCCTCAAACAATTGGAAATGATCTCCGCCCAATCTCGCTTACTTCCTCAATGGCAAAAGTTATGGGAGGCTTTACTTGCACTAGATTATTAAAGGACTTGGAAGGAAAAATCGACCCTCGCCAATATGCCCCCAAAGGGCACTCAACAACAGATGCCCTTCTCTACATGATGCAAACAATTCATGAGGCATTGGACGGGGGCGAAGCTGGTGCTCGTACCTTCTTCGCAGACTTCTCAAAAGGTTTTGACCTAATTGGCCACTCTATTTTAATACAAGAACTGTATAAGCTCCAGGTTCACCCTGCCTTGCTGTCCTGGATCTCAGCTTTTTTATTCAATCGTAGGCAGGCGGCTAGAATTGGCAGTGTCCTTTCTCAATGGCAAACTCTGAAGGGAGGAATACCCCAAGGGACTGAACTCGGAGTGGTACTTTTTATGGTCATGACAAATAGCTTACTGGCTAATTGGCATCCAGTGGCGTAGCAAACTCGATAATTGGGGGGGCACATATTCATATATTCGTGTTCTGCCTTATTAATTTCTTTTGAAATCAATTATTTTTAAGGTCAGTGAACACGAATATATGAATATGTGCCCCCCCCCAATTATCGAGTTTGCCACGCCACTGTTGGCATCTCCGTACAAAATTCGTGGATGATACTTCAGCCCTCGAGATTATTCCTAGGAACTCTATCAGCCTCCTTAATTTTGCAGTCTCTGATATACATGAATTTGCTAATGAACATAACATGATGTTCAATCCTAAGAAGTGTAAGGAAATGCTTATAAACTTCCTACATAACCCCAATTTATTACTCCGACCAATCCAAATTGGTAACAATATTATTGAGCGTGTGACAACGTATAAATCTTTGGGTGTCATTTTGAGTAGCGACCTAAAATGGAATCCCCATATCGAATACATTGCTAAGAAGGCTAACAAAAAACTATACCCTTTAAGAGTCCTGCGAAGAGCTGGGATTGACCAAAAGAATTTACTGAAAGTGTACCTGTGCACAGTAAGACCGGTACTTGAGTACGCCGTGCCTATTTGGCAAAACATTCCGGATTATCTAACGAAGGAAATTGAGTCGGTCCAAAAACGAGCACTAAAGATAATTTTCTCGGAGAGCGAGTCATATGCGGAGGTCCTGAATTTTGCACAACTACCAACTTTAACCATAAGAAAAGTGCAAATATGTCAGAAATACATGGTCAGAATGAGGCGAGAAAACCATCCCTAATTCCAATCCCTTTTGTTCCGGACCATGACAATAATTTGACACAGAACACTGATCGATTTTATCTATTTAATAATGTTACTGATTGCAGAACAATTAAAGAAGCTCAATCCTTTTTTACATTTAAATACTCTTAATATATGTTGTTCCTGACCATGACATTAATTTGAGACAGAACACTGATCGATTTTATCTATTTAATAATGTTACTGATTGCATAACAATTAAAGCTCGATCCTTTTTTACATTTAAATACTCTTAATATGTTAATTTTTTTTTAATATATATGAAAATTGTAAATAATTATATGCATGCACTATTTACTATTTTGGTAAATGCCTAATGATTTTAACTCTTGTAAATAGCCTAGATTCTAAAGCATATCCATGTACTATTTTATAACATATTCTTATCTATTGTAAAGTACTCGTTAATTCAGTTGTTTCTGTAACTGCAAGAGAGTCCTAATAAACTATTATTATTATTACATAATTGTTTCGAATCGACAGTAAAGAATTATACGACTATAATCACAACTGTATGCATTTCCTTTTTTGTTTGCACGAGTACCTTTTGTTGAAGCCAAAAATAAAAATATTGTATAGAATCTCCGATATGAATTCAATTGCCATTCACCCTTGCCCCTTGAATGCAAAGAAATGTTTAGCAAAGTATTTTTTTATTATATCTGGTATAAAGTGTCCCTACGTTTTATCAGGGTGTATATATACATAATTCATAACTGTATATGCCCACGAAGTCTAGCTCATAGAATTACTTAATATATAGTTTTAATTAATAAGCCTTTTAAAGTTTCCATTGATAGATAGGTTTTTGCCTCTAGTATAGTTTGGTGAAACTGATAAAATGTCATTACAGTATACGACAAAAATTTAAGTTGATTTAAATATTGATGACACTGCGGCATACAAGTCGAAAGAAGCTGTATCATTCTAAGCTGGGTTATTCTTCAAATATAAAACCCTGAATGGGTAATGGCAATGGCAATGAAAGGTCTTTATAAGGTTTATAATGCACCTGCTGTAAATTACTGTAATATACGAAATATATGAAATAATTTACTATAAAGTACAATACCAGTGTCTGGTGCATATATCATCCTAAATATTCAAGTTATATGTACCGCACGCACGGAAACGCACGGTGGAGTCTTGGCGTTCGTCTGATGACAGATAGCTATACTTCGAGTCTTCGGGAATTACAAAGAGCTTGTCAGGATTAATTTTAGCCAGAGATTTAGAGAAATAAGGAAGGCAATCAGTCATGTTAAATGATGGTAATACTGCGTCTTTTCCATTGATTATATTTTTAACATAGCCCGAAAAGCTTCGTTCCAGATATGTGTTGTGATTAAAAGACTCACTGTCATTTAAGTCCATGGCGTCGTTGCTATTTTTACGGAAATGCTGTGCTGAGTGGTTATGTTACTACCTTAAAAAATAAGCAGAAACTCGACGTTTCGAGCGAAGGCCCTACAAAGGTACAGACAGTTTTAGTATACTATTGTTACGGAGCCTGTCACGCAATGTACGCGATACGTATTTAATTTCACTTAGGTCACCCTTTTTGGATTTTAAATTTTGTAAAGCTCTCTTTAACTTTTTAACCTTAATTATACTCTTTATATTTAGCTACCATATTTTTGTCGGGTACCGTTTCAGTATATCCATAATTATTTGCAAAGTAGTTGTATACATGTATATCGCGTCATTTAAAAGCTTGATTTTTGAATTTAGATCTGGCAATGTGATTGGATCATTTGGCTGGAGTGCACATTCAAAATAATTATTAGCCGTTGACCATTCAGAATCATTTTTCGGGAGATTTATGCCTTTCTTCAGTTCAGGAAAACTGTCGTAATTAACTGTGTTAATATCATTGCCGTTGTGTTCATTTTCCGAAATATTTTCGGTGTTATCCGTAGTTATTTGCTCCTCAAGATCTGCACAAAGCTCATCGTTAAGGCCATGTATCACTTGACAACTGCGCTGATGCATTTTAAGGCCGCGCGCTCTTTGGCTTTGCATATCTTGCCACAACAACATTTAACAATCGTGCGATTTGACACAGGAACATTAGGGTACTGCATTACAGGCACTTGTCTTGTTGTAGCGCCAGGGGGATCTTGTTCTGCTTGGTTAATCCGTTGTTTACAACGCCATGAATGGCGACCGAGCGTGACGAAGTCTTTATCACAAAACGAACAGACGACGCAAGTCAAAAGCATGCCAATAAAACTTGAACGAATCATGCTGATGATCTTTTATGATTATAAATTTTAACAATTGGTAAGAAATACTGTGATTCTAATACAAAACCAGCGATAAAACTATGACATGTACAGAGCACGTCTGAACACGGCTCTGCTCGATGTAATGAAATAATAATAATAATAATAATAAACATTTTATTTAAACAGCGTGACTAGAGTTACACGAAGTAATTTTTATCTAAGCCCTAATGATGATGGCTCCCGGCGTTACGCCACAAAATTTTAAAAACTTTCAGCAAATCAGAGAGCTTTATTTTGTGACGCAACGCCGGGAACCATCATCCGGCATAGTTTTGACCAAATTGGACACGATTTGAAACATTTTCGCTAAATTAACTCGTTTTAAAGTGACGAGAGAACAAAAAAAACACAACGTAGAAGTATTAAAGTTATGGCTTACCAATAGTGAGTTAGTTTTTTAATGAATTTCGATGTTTATGTACGAGTTTTTTCGTCATTAAGTTTTTGTACACAGTTTTAAGTTTGTATTTTCTTGCCAACCTTGGGTGAAATGGTGAAGTGGAAAACGGGCTTAAGTTGTCGAAGTCTTACTGCTGTTCTTGCAAGCAAGTTAATTTTAGCTTGGAAATAAGTATGAATGACACAATTTTTTTAATATCTTCACAACATTTACCGTTTAGAATTAATACATTGTGCTGATATTCATTTGTGTCATTCAGACTTTAATTTCCGAGTCAAACTGAACTGAAGGTCATCGGACATATGTCCGACCCAAACTCAACGTCATCGGACATTTTGTCAGACGGCCCTGTAAAACTGGATATTTTAAGGCCTGGTTTAGTGACAAAGTGATAGCCGGAGACTCAATTTGTTGAAACGGCTGTAGCTAAATAAAAATCGTCCATCGTCCAGGTTTTAGCACAAATGCTAAAACCTGGACTATGGACGTCCATCGTCCATCGTCCAGTCCATCGTC